ATCCTGATTTTGAATGTCTCTTTAAACCTTTTTTTTGTTGTTGTTGTTGTTTTACTTTCTACAACATCTTTCCTGATTTCACTTTTTCATCTAATTCTACAGTTTCTACACGTCACTCTATAAGAAATACTCTGCATTCTAAAAACATTTCTGTATTCTGATTCCCATCAAATTATACCGAAATACGTATTAATCAACTGTAAATCCATAAATATGCCATGCATTGTATCATGTACGCACAATTTCTATCAATCAATAATAACTTATACATCACGCATGTACTGCCATCTACCTGCAAATTCAACAGTTTTATTGTCACGTTCCTAATCACTCGTTCCAAGAAGTGAAGTTTGTTACAGTGTAACGTGTTTCTGATTTGTATTCAGATTATTTTGGTGAAAGTGAAAGATTCAATCGAATTCTTATGGATTCCTTACTTCACTTCCAAGCCACCCTTCGTTCCGCCTTAAGGTAAACGAATTTGAATGTTGTAACTGGTGAAGCAAGGGAAATACGGCGAACGGTTTAGAAAAAAAAATTAAGTTCATAAGGCCTAGGTCTATATAAGTACGAACTTTGTACGTGATCTCTATTACGTACGTTTAAGGACAGATATTCATTCAATTGTTCGTTCGCTAAACACAAAATGCGAATCCAAAGTCTAAATAAGTACTTATATAAACCTTGTGCGAATCTTCCGTGGTCTTGTATTGGCTCGTTTTTTTGTTTGTTTGTTTGTTTTTGCCATTTTGTCATCTTAAAGGCGACACTTGGCTCGTTGTCTATTTTAATTGGGGAATCGTGAATTTCTTAATGGTGTTAGGGTCTTTAGGTCAGCTGGTCACGTACGTCGGGGATCTGTTATGAACATTTACATTTGTTTTATTTCTTTTCGAGTGTTTATCGTTTAAAGAAAAATGCTTAATTGTATCTTTCGCGAGGTATGGAAACGTATTTTTTCCCGTTCTCATCTCTCTCTCTCTCTCTCTCTCTCTCTCTCTCTCTCTCTCCTCTCTCTCTCTCTCTCTCTCTCTCTCTCTCTCTCTCTCTCCTCTCTCTCTCTCTCTCTCTCTTTCTCTCTCTCTCTCTTTTCTCTCTTTCTCTCTTCCTCTCTTTCTCTCTCTCTCTTCTCTCTCTCTCTCTCTCTCTCTCTCTCTCTCTCCTCTCTCTCTCTCTCTTCTCTCTTCTCTCTCTCTCTCTCTCTCTCTCCCTACTCTCTCTCCCTCTCTCCTCATCTCTCTCCTCTCCTCTCTCTCTCTCTCTCTCATCTCTCTCTCCTCTCTCTCTCTCTCTCTCATCTCTTCTCTCTCTTCTCTTTTCTCCTCTCTCTCTCTCCTCTCTCTCTCTCTCTCTCTCTCTTCTCTCTCTCCTTTTTTTTAGTCTCCTCCAGGAATACCAACATCCAAAAGAAAACGGAATGGCCTTTTTGGAACTTCCTTTGCTCTCTCATCTCAAAAATTCCCTGTCTTCTCTTTTGAGGAATTCGCTTGATTATTTTCATCTACTCTTTTCCTTTTTTAATGTTCTCTTCCAGTTTCTTTTCTTCGTTTTCTTCCTTTTCCGTCATATTTCTTCTTTTTCCTATCTTCATTTCGTGGTATAACAGGCAATTGATTATGTCACTACTATTTTCTTTTCTTTTCCATTTTCTATTTTTCTTCAGTTTTACTTCTTTTCTTTCTTTTTCCATTTTATTTCTGCTTTTCCACCTTCATTCCTTGGATAACCTCAATTGAATTATGTCATCTACTATTTTCTTTTCCTTTTCCATTCTCTTTTTTCCAGTTTCCTACCTTCGCTTTTTCCCTCTTCCATTTTATTTCCTTTCCATCTTGATTCCTAATAATAACAATAAGGCGAATCAGTACATGGAATTACCTTCTTTTGGCTTTCCCTGATGAAAACCCAATAACATCTTTTTTTCTTTTTTTTTTTTTTTTTTTGGGGGGGGGGGTAGGTATACTATGCATGATCACATCAGAACAGATTTCGTTTGTCCTCTGTCGATTTTACTTTACATGTGCGACTTTATAGCATAGCTGATCCGAACGGCAAAATCGATTTCATTTCTCTCATCTATTTACCTATCTTTCTATCTATCTATCTAT